CGGCGATTTTCTCTCAACCTTCAATAACGACACCAAAAAGCTTATCCGTGAATATGAAAGGATCCAATCGAAAATAAGTAGATATAACATGTCTAAATTATTCAACGAAACATGTCTCAATACATACATACATACATACATACATATATACATATATATATATATATATATATATATATATATATATATAGGTGTGTTTATATGTATTTTTCATCTTTTAGTATTGACTAAAGTGCTATAACTACACATGCACACGAAGCGGATAGGACGCTGAAATTTTACACCTTGAAATTTAATTTTTCTTTATGTGTTTAGGTATATAGTGTAACCAATTTCATTTAGTTCCTTTCCCTTTTTGTTTCTGTTATTATCACTTTTCTGGTCTTCTATGTAAGCTTCAAGGCTACGTTATTACAGGACGATTATTTGATTTCCTCCAATCATTCCTATCAAATCGCGAAATGAAAGTTGTCCTGAATGGCTTCTCTCCCGCTCCTTACATACAAACGCGGGAGTTACCCCGGGCTCTCTCCTGGTTCCTACACTGTTTCTAATCTTCACCAATGATCTTCCTGATGCCAACAGTTCTTAAATAGGCATCTGTGCAGACGACATTTACTCCTGTCTCAATAGTAAATACGGCACTCATGACAAAGTTAACCTGGCCACTGCTTTTGAAAAGGATCTCTAATCAATGGTTTACTGGAGCAGTAAATGGCTTGTAGATTTTAATGCTTCCAAAAGCAAAATGATTTCATTTAAGGGCCGCAGAGAAACTTCCCTGTTCTTCATCAGCATCGTTGATGCTCGACTCTGTGAGAGTGTCTCACTGCGCTTGTTTGGCCTCACGTTTTCTAATGACTTGAAGTGGAACAACAACATTGAATAAATAGCTGCATCTACTGCAAGGAAAGTCGGTTCACTGTGTCGTGCCAGAAGTTTTTTTCTTGTCAAAGTCCATCTTACATATTTACATATCTACCATTCGTCCATGCATTGAATATTATTGCCGTATCTTGTCTGGTAGCCCTGCTTTTTATCTTGAGGTTCTGGACAAAATACAAAGAAACATCTGCAATGTAATCGATCCAGACTTGACATCTGTACTCTCATAGGTGTGATGTGGCTTCCCTCTGTCTTTTCTACAAATATTTTCAAGGCAACTGTTCTGGCAAGCTATCTTCCCTGATGCACCGACTACATGATTTTAAGCGTGCTACTAGATTTGCATCTCGGTCTAACCCTTTTACTGTTGAAATAATAAAATGTAACTGCCATTTCTACTCTGGAAGTTTCTTGCACTTCCCAACCGTGGGACACCTTTCCCCTTACTTGCTTCCCTGATAACTACAATTTTCAAAAAATTAAATGCAAATTCAATAGCCATCTTCTATCTTCTTGAATCTCGTTCATCTTTTATCCTTTCCTCAATCCCCACTATACGCAGTCTTTTCCCTCACTTTCAATCTGTAACGCCTGCATATTAGTGGCATTCCTGCTTGGGTTGAAATGCTTTAAAAAATACCAAAAATTTCGCGCATTGTGATAATAGAAGACTTGCCAAGAAAGGTGAAATTTTGTAAAAACAGGGATGTAAATTTATTTTACTCGCTAGGTCATCCACAATAAATTTGCTTCTAATTTCTTACTTATCTGGTCATATTGAATAACCTTCAGTAAATATTTAACTAAAAGTTTTAGATCAACCATGGGCGTACCATATTCCTATCCTCGTGCTTGACATATCCAGAATGGTTCTTAGGGTGAATTTGCATTTTAAAATACGTACAAAATGTCCATAATGTCTCTTTACAATTAATTTTTTTTTACGAATGCAAAGGAACAGACAAATATGTGGAAATTGACGGGTGGATATTAATTTAATCCACCTCTATATGGGAACCATTAATTGCAGGAAGCACATCAAGACGATACCCGATTCCTTGCTATGTTCGCTGTAGCATAGCCTCATCAATAGTGGCAATGGTATAAATGATCTTTTTGCTTTAGATCAGTGATGTCCCGTATCTTTGTTCGATACAAAATATCTTTAGCATAATCTCATAGAAAGACGTTCAGGAGAGTGATATTCCAATTCTTTCCAATTCTTCACTCAACAAGTATATGTATCAACACGGCGATTTTCTCTCGACCTTCAATAACGACACCAAAAAGATTATCCGTGAATATGAAAGGATCCAATTGAAAATAAGTCGACATAACATGTCTAAATTATTCAACGAAACAAGTTTTTTATATATATATATATATATATATATATATATATATATATATATATATATATTAGGTTGAATGCAAAAATAATGACGTAATAATGTCGTTTTGGACGTATTTTTAACGTCAAAAACGACATCATTACGTCATTATTTTTGCACCAATCTGATATATGTATGTGTGTGTGTGTGTGCATGTGTGTAGGTTTTCATCTTTTAATATTGGACTAAAGTGCTATAACTACACATACACACGAAGAGGATAAGACGCTGAAATTTTATACCTTGAAATTTAATTCCTTCCTTCCAATTCACCGGTCTGGAAATGTTTAATTTAAGAATCCATGAACATGCAATCCCCAATGTGGTAGTGTATCATCTTGCTGGAAAATGATAGTTGGTCGAAGGTCATCTAGTTGTGGTTTCACATCAGTTACCTATGGAATATATTTTTAGATTATAAAGAGACTTTATGGACACCCTGTATTTTGACAGTAAGCAAAAAACTTACATAACTAAGACGTAAAGAGGTTAGTGAGTGTGAAAGAATATGAAACAAAGAAAAAACATTATTACGGAGAGAAAACGATAGAAAAGAGGGATAAGAAAGACAGAAAAGAACGATTGACATTTTTGAGGTAAGCCGTCTTTGAAATTGGAGAGAGAAATATTTTGTTTCTTTTTAGCAGAAACCACCGTTTGACCCGACAGGGCTTAGGCAGCTCAGTCACAGAAAGCATCAGCGCCTTGTAAGCTTGTATTTACCCTATTGCAAACATGTGTGTCCAGTAAAAACAGAATATTGAAGTATATAATTTTTTCATTTTTTTTTTAAATCATTTCACCCCTAATCTTTACAATAAAACGTAGGTATGAAAGAATATGAGGAAAATGAAAACATTATTTAGGATTTGAAAACAATAAAAAGAGCAGGAATAAAGACAGAAGATAACGATTGTCATTACATTTAAATCTTTGAAGATCGAAGTTCACTTGAAAACAACAAACCGGAAGAGAGTTCCACAATTGGGAATTAAGAAGAAAGAAACTGTTATCATAGAACCTACGGTTCTATCTAGCTATTTCAACTGCAAAATGATGAAACCTAGCTAACAGTACTTCGCTCAAATTTGCAATTTGTTTTACCAGAGAGAAAACCTCGTAAGATCATTTAAAAGGAAAACATTGATATAAAATGAACAGAGACGCTACGCTACGAGAGTGGGAAAGTGAACTGAAAGCGAGATGCCAGTTGAGGACCGATAACATTGCAATTATTTACTTAGCTGGATCCGTCTTTATAATCGCGATCTGGTTCCTCCATTAAGCTGATGTATAATAATGCCCTAGCTAACCTTTCTGTTGTTCATATAATGTCCATGTTATAAGTTCCAATTTCTCTGATCTATGCTATCATTTCCTGTAGCTGCAGTCTTTAAACCTTATTTCTTTTCCATCCTAATCAGAGTCATTCACTTGGTACTCGTATCGCTGTTCGACGCACTAATCGGATGATTTTTGCCTTATTTAACTTCAGCCTTCGCCTCACCAGTCGCCTCTTCATCTGATTAACTCTTTCCATCATTATCAGTATAGAAATAATCTGAATCGATTGCATTCCTATTACTTTTCGTCTCTTTGAATAGACCAATGGCTTCTCTTGCTCGCATCATCTGCTATTGTTTAAACATTGTGGCTATAATTGTATTTCTTGATCATCAATATATATTCCGGTAACTAATGACTTTGAATTATTTAATGGATGGTAAACACTGGCCAATGAAGTCTTACGTAAGGTTCGTGTATAGGAGGGAAGGGAGAAGAAATATTTGAATGTAGGGATAGGGGAGAAGAAAAAAAGAAAAAAAAAGGAGAGTAGTGGGAGTCGAAATTGAATAAAGTCAATATTCAGTGTGAGCATGTTAGAAGTTTAACACATCTACATTTGCGGTGGTCTTGTCTCTTTCTAGATTGACATTCAGCCAGGTTAGATGGTGTTTTGGTTGAAGAGAATTCATCATGAGGAACGAGGGTTTGGTAAATTTAAAACTCACATGACATGTGGAAGGCAAGGGGGAGAGAGGAGACCTATCCAACGAGCTTGTTGAAATGGGTAGAACAGGTGTTAGGGGAGACATCAAAAAGAGTGAACTATTTCAAAGGGCAGGCAGCCAAGAAGAAGAAGAAGAAGAAGAAGAAGACAATGAGGAAGAAGAAAAAGACAATGAAGAAGAAGAAGAGGGAGTAGGAGAAGATGAAGAACAACAATAAGGATGAGGATGATAAAAACAATAAAAAGGAAGAGAAGAAGAAGAGGAGGGGAGGAGGAACAAGGAGGGGGAGAATGAGAGGGAGTAGGAGGACAACAACAACAAAAATAAGGAGAGGTACGAGGAACAGAAAAAGAAGAAAAAGAAAGAGCAGAAGAAGACGACTCCCGTGAGGATGCTTTCCTGATCACTATTTAACTCTACAAGACGACGGTCAACTGTTATATGTCCTAGATGTACTCATGATATACATTTCTTTCTCCCTCCATGTACACTCCTAAGACAACCTAATTTAACAAACCGCTACCTTGAGTGGCTCTTGGGCATTGTGTTGGTTGAACAACAGTAGGAAAGATAATCTGGAGAAAGCAGCGATAAACTTATTGACAAGTTTAAGAAAATCCAAGCAGAAACATGTACCGAAATCGCAAGAATTACGAAGGATATTTATGATTTAGAAGAGTTAAGGACGATAAGCCGTGGGGAGCCATGATTGTCACCACCCTGAACAGATAGATAGATAAATAGATAGATAGATAGATAGATAGATAGATAGATAGATAGATAGGATTATACTGAAATAGATAGATAGGACTATACTGAGATAGATAGATAATAAACAATTTGTGATAGATAGACAAATAAACAGATAGATAGGACTATACTTAGATAGACAGACAGATAGATAGATAGATAGATAGATAGATAGATAGATAGATAGATATGTACATAGGACTATACTGAGATAGATAGATAGATAGATGGATAGATAATAAACAATTTATGATAGATAGATTGATAGATAGGACTATACTGAGATAGATAGATAATGAACAATTTGTGATAGATAGATAGATAGATAGATAGATAGGACTATACTGAGATAGATAGATAGATAGATAGATAGATAGATAGATAGATAATGAACAATTTGTGATAGATTGATAGATAGGACTATACTGAGATAGATATGAACAATTTGTGATACATAGATAGATAAATAGATAGATAGATAGATAGATAGTTAGATAGGACTATACTGAGATAGATAGATAAATAGATAGGACTATACTGAGATAGATAGGACTATACATAGATAGATAGATAGATAGATAGATAGATAGATGTGACATCATTTACCAGCCCAAAAGAAAAGAAAAGAAAAAGAAGAAGGAAAGAAAGGAAAAGAGAGGCGAGACTTAAGCTTAGATGATAAAAGAAGCCACCACGACCTGGGGACATTGACAATGTTATTTTGATGAGTAGCAAATGGCGAAAGGTTTCATTACCATTGCAGAAAACTTCTAAATGGATAAGAAAATCGACTATGTTCTGGTGGCGAACTTGTGTTATCAGGGATAGATAACAACCACTTAATGCTGGCGAACATCTAATTAACAAACCACAGACCGGCTAGCTAAAAACTCCGAGACAATTGACAATGTTATTTTGATAATGGAAAAGATAGTGAAAATTCTGACCACCAGTGTCGTAGAACTGTCTGACAAAAGAACAGGTGAATATAGAGCTTTGGATAGATAAGAAAAATTAACTGTGTCAGAGGGGGCAAACAATATTGTCGGGAAAGGATTTAATAGGTCGTCTGCTAACCCACACGAAGCCAACCCTGGTTCACGTCTTGGCCGTTTTGACAAGACATCTATGGGTGTTAGAATTGGTTTGTGATAAAAACTATGTTATCAGAAATTGGCACCAAGAATGCAAATACGGCTATAACAATGGAACTTTTTTCGAGGCGACGGTCGACTGTGTTTCGCTACCCCACTTGATAATTGGCATTGATAGATCCCAGGTGATATTGGGGGATGAGAGCTGCGATTAAGGAAAGAAAAGGAAATGAAAAAGATAATTTTTTTTTGAACAAGATATATTTTTTTTTCTTCCTAAAACAAAGCCAGCCGGATCACACACCCTCGGCTGGATGCTATTGGCCGAATGATGGCGAGGGCCGGGCGGAGGTGATCACGTGACGCAAGGAGGGAAGCCGCCACCGCCCATTTAGAGGATAGGTATGAGAAGTTGCTACGAAGAAGTGGGGAGAACCGTTGACGCCCCTCTGAAGTATGGTGAGAATAAGAGAAGGTGGGAGTAATAGAAGACTTCCAAAAATGGAGAGGAGTGGAAAATTCCTGACCAAAAATAAAAGAAGTGGATATGGATTTAGAATTATCGAGGAACCATCAACCCCGACAAACCCACCCCGGTTTTGGTCGGCGTCCATATAAGCAAAGTCGCAGCGAGCAAAAATCAGTTCAGTTGTGTTGAGTTCAGTTCAGAGGAGTTCAATCCAGAGTGCTCAGTTGAATCAGGCCTCGCAGCTGACTAAGATTCGCGCAACTTCCGAACTCATCTTCAATCCAAGAACAATTTATTTTGGAGAGCGACTTAGATCCATACCACGAAAATAAGCTTTTCGATTATCGCCTGAAGACACACCAAGAACCAATTTCTTAAAGAACAGACAACTTAAGATGTTAAAACTCGCCTAACAAAAACAACGTGTCACAATCCATATAGCGGGTCGGGAGATAGACGCAGTCCTATGTATCCAGCAACCAGATATAAAGTATTGTTATCCTTTTTTTGATACCTTGAACTTTTGAGTTATCATTTTATTTTCTTTTATGCATATTTGTGTGATATCACCCTCGTTTGAACTCAATTTGCATTACGGCCCCAACGACTGATTGATTTCGTCTGCCTAAGATCAATTCACAACGTGGGTAGGCGGACTGGAGATCAACGCAGTTACTTTGGTAACCAGACGTTGGAAGTGAGTTGGGAACGACGAGGCTGATATCGAATCTAACCAGATTCCCATCCGAATCACCAAAAGGTTAGAACGTCACATTTGGGTGCCGCGACCGATACCAAGCCAGTTGGTCGTCACAGGACGGGACAACACGACTGACGCAAACAGGCGGACGTCACGTTTGGAGCGGCGACACCCGAACGAAGCAGCGAGGAGCGAGCGAAGGCTGTGTTGAGGGACGTCACATAGATAGATAGATAGATAGATAGATAGATAGATGGACTATACATAGATAGATAAATAGATAGATAGACTATACTGAGATAGATAGATAGATAGATAGATAGACTATGCTGAGATAGATAGATAGATGGATGGATATGAACAGTCTGTGTTAGATATGAACATTCTGAGATAGATAGCTTTGAACAACCTACTAAAGATGGACAGAGAGAATGAAACGTGAAAATAAATAAACATTTAGCATTGGTTAATAGACTAAACAGTAGTAAAAAAACATTTGGAATCCTTAGAAACTCTTGATATCGTATGTACTGACGTTCGGGGGTTATGCATTTTTATTAACTGGGGTAATTTTCACATCAAAAGTTATTGCACGAATAACCTTTGACCTATATGTAAGTCCCCATATCATTCTGGTTGCTTCTTCTATTATAAAAGATATAATGTTCCTAAACCTGAAAAAAAAAACTTTCAAATATGATTATTGGTATTGTTTCACAATTGTTTCAGTCAAATCTCAGATTTCTTTTTCAGCAAACAATAATTTGATATAATAATTCATAATTACCAAAATCCTGACAATGAAGTAATCTCATCAGAAATTTCATACGTTTCACGTTGATTGTTTTTCTTAGCTCTTCGCATATTTAATTTGTCTTAATTAGGCAAGCCTTTTCATAGTAAATATGCACACGAAACAGAAAAAAATAAATAAAAGATCGAATCGCAACGTAGAAAAAATCAACTGATTTTTCCCCTGTTATAATTATTTCTCATTTCCAAAAAAGAAACACCTGTGTCCTTTCTATTGTTAATCAAGTTGTAATTAAGTCTTGATTATCCAGCGCAATTTCATGCTCTTTTCAAACTCAGGATACGAACGTTTAACTAATTAACTTTTGATAAAACAGCCACACCACTACTGTTAATCAATTTTCTTTTGCTTTAATTCTAACAGTAATTATTCATTATTTAGCTGAGATTGAAACTTCATTTGACCAAGATCGAAGAAAAAATCATATTTGCGCATGCGTGTTAATATATAGCAATGAGAATCACGGATGGTGTAATGGATATCAGCGCAAAAAATGAATTAAGCATACCAATAATGCTTCCCCCAGTTTTCACTAATATTATGTATTCGTCTTCCTCCGGCTTTGGGTTAAATAGCTACCTATCAAGAAGGGAGAATTCAAAACCAACCTTAAAAGTGATGTACTCCATCAGTATATAATGCCTTGGAGACACCATGGCAGTTATGGTTGCAAGTACATGAGGTTCATCTACGATCTTAATGGGTTACGGGACGCGCAACTACCCATACCAATGGTTGTGGGTCAAATTTCACGGGGGTATCGCTTTGGAAAATGTTGCTTGTTTTTTGAAAAAAAATATTTGGTAGCTATTATAGAAAACAACTGAGAAACACACACACACACACACACACACACATATATATATATATATATATATATATATATATATATATATATTTAAGTAATTCATCGAGTCTGAAAGAAACCTCAACAGAAAGCACTGGACGACAGTTTCGTCCTATATTTGGGACTCAGCAGCAGTGCGTATCCCCTACAGAGAATTGAAACCCTGACAGTTAGGTTATCATGTAAATATATATATAATTTAAAGTCGGGGAAACAACATCAAAACTGATATTTACAGTTTAATATATATATATATATATATATAAAAGAAATATGTTGCAGTGGTTCCAACGAGAGAAAAGTATGTATATTAAAAAGAAGAGGGGTGCCGCAAACGTTTTTGGTTGTAATGTGGATTTATTGAGAAAAAATATTATACTTTGTTTTACATAATTTCACGACACGTGTTTCTGGTCTGGTCTCGCAACTGTCTTCAGGTGAAAGTGGAGATTTTACATATTATTAAAAATAATTAATTTTTCTTCATGTTCAATGTGGAATATTCTCGATATGAGACATTCTGTTTGTGTGTTGGCAATCGAATTTTCTTTCTAGAATTGTCAATGAAAGAGTTCTGCGTGAAGGGTCATAAAACAATTGTTTTATGACCCTTCACGCAGAATATTTTTTCTCAATAAATATTTTTTCTCAAAAACGTTTGCGGCACCATTACAATATATAAAATACGTTTATATAAACCCTCTATATATTTTATATATATATATATATATATATATATATATATATGTATATGACGTCGTCCCCCAGTCGCAGCGCCAACTGTGACGTTATATCCTGATCTACCACGACGCCAGTTGTGACGTCCCGAAACAGCACCAATTGTGACTTCCTCACCGCGGCGCCAGCTGTTCGCTCCTCGCTGCTCCGTCCGGGTGTCGCTGCTCCAAACGTGACGTCCGCCTGTCACGTCAGTCGTGTTGTCTCGTCCTGTGACGACCAACTGGCTTGGTATCGGTCGCGGCACCCAAATGTGACGTTCTAACCTTTTGGTGATTCGGGTGGGAATCTGGTTAGATTTGATATCAGCCTCGTCGTTCCCAACTCGCTTCCAACGCCTGGTTACCAAGGTAACTGCATTGATCTCCAGTCTGCCTACCCACGTTGGGAATTGATCTTAGACAGACGAGATCAAACAGTGGTTGGGGCCGTAATGCAAACTGAGTTCAATGGGGTGATACTACACAAATATGCATAAAAAGAAAAGAAAATGTAAACTCAAAAGTTCAAAGTATCAAAAAAAAAAGGTAACAAACTTTATGTCTAGTTGTTCGATACATAGGACTGCATCTATCTCCCGACCCGTTCTGTGGATTGTGACACGTCGTTTCCACTAGGCAAGTTTTAACGCTTCAAGTTGTTTGCTCTCTAAGAAATTGGTGTTTCGGTGTGTCTTTGGACGAAAGTCGAAAAAACTTATTTCTGTGGTCTGGTTCTAAGTCGCTCTTCAAAATAATTGTTTTTGGGTTGAAGAAGAGTCCGGAATTTGCGTGAATCTTGGTCAGCTATCTCGAGGCGGTTTCAACTCTGGAAACTCAACTCTGCCGCCCGAACTGATTTCTGCCTGTTGGGGCCTCGTTTTTATTGACGCCGGCCAAAACCGGGGTGGTTCTGTTGGCATCGGGGGGTTTCTCGATAATTCTAAATACATATGCACCTCTTTTATTTCTGGTTAGGGATTTCCACTCTTTTCCATTTTGGTAACCCCTCCTCACTTCCACTTTCTCACCATACCTCTGAGGGGCGTGAACTACCCTCCCCACGTCTTCGTAGCAGCTTCTCATACTTATACTCTGGATGGGGCGTTGACAGCCTTCTTCGTGCGTCACGTGATCACTCTCGGCCAATAAGGTCTTGGTCGGGTATATTTCCTCCTCCTTTGTGCGTCACGTGATCACCACCTGACCAATGATGTCTTAGTCGGGCGTGAACAATCCGCGGCTTTGTTTCGGGAAAAAAAAATACTTTGCTTAACTCAAAAAAAAAAAAAAATAATTATCTCTTCTCTTTCCTTTTTCTTCCTTTCAAATCGCCGTTATCATTTCTCTAGCCACGAACGGACAATATGACATCTCTTATTTTACACGTGGTGTTTGTCAGGTAGTTTATCGCTAATTTATCGAGATGGTTGGTTTTCGTAACATGGGTTCAGAAAAGAAATATCCCCAAAATTTTCAGTCAGTCTGTCGCCTCCAAGGGAGAAATTAAAACACTTCTGGTTCCCATTCATTTTCCTTCGGTACATATGTCTGATAACATAATTTTATTATCGCAGGGCAACGTTGTTTCGTCGAAATGAATTCAGTCAGCTGCATTGCCTGGGTGGCATTTAATTTTCATATCTGTCCAAAGTCCTTTTTAGTGTCCTGTTTCTCGTCACTTATCGAAATAGCATTTTTCTTGAATTTTTCCTGGGCAGTGGTCAGCCATTCATGTACGCACCTAGATAACATAGCCGTTATCAAAACACATCTGGTTCCTTCTTTCTTTTCCATACTTTTTACTCAGAAATTCCCTGTCATTTAATGACACACGTTTTCCTTGTTACTTATCAATATTTTTCATTGTCTCTTAGGCCATGTGTGGCTGTTTCATCACCTACGATTCGTCTCGCCTTTCTTTCTGCCTTCCTTTCTTTTCTTTCTTTCTCTGCCTCGTAAATGGTGCCACATATATATATATATATATATATATATATATATATATATATATATATATATTATAAATTAATTGATTTAAAAATATGAGCACTATTTTGTAAAAATAAAATATCTATAAGAACAGCGGATTATATATCTTACTGTTCTTTCTTTATATATATATATATATATATATATATATATATATATATATATATATATATACGTTACAGAAAAGTAATCCACGTGTACTTCTCATGGGCTGTTTGTATATTAGGTCGATGAAAGAAATTGAAATAATAATAAAATGTTTATTGTACATTATTAGTCTATTAGACAAAATCAAAAGCATTTCGGAAATGTCTGTTTCTTTTCTTAAAATAAATTAAATCAAGTTGGGCCCTTTTAAAAACCTTAAAAAGTGTCTGCCCATTTGTATATTTCTGTTTCCTTGACTCTTGAATAGAGCTTACGTTATTATTTATGAGTCAGACTATATTGTTTTAATCAAGTTAGAATATGTAATGTAATTTTTTAAATACAATTTCTCAACCCCTTCCTCACTTGTTGCTGGACACTTCACTTCTCTGCAGGGATTTTTATTTTCGTATTCATTCATATGACAAAATGCGTATGTGATAATGTCAGTGTTTGTGTGAGTGATTTATTTTTTGATTAAATTTTGTACTTTTTCGGCTAGTCTACTTAATAATAAGGATTTTCTGGTTTTTCGAAAAAATGATTCTTGTTGAAAATACATTCACAGAGTATGCCTAAATTTCTATTTAAACAGCTAATGTGTGAATTTATTTTAAAATGAATTTTAATTCTGGATTTTGCGAAATTGTTGGCAGCTAAATGAAGACACTCAAAGAATGCATCTAAGTTTATCAACACTAGTACAAGGCCACATGGCACAGTGGATGGCATTGGTTAGATCCAGTGACAGGACCCAAAGCGTGTGAGTTCAATACCCGGTTAAGACAGTGGAGAAATTTCAGAGGGAAATTAACAGGAGATAACTGATAACTGACATCCATCAAACATGGCACGTGGAACTAGAACAGTCTAACCCAGTGAGCGTAATAAAGGGTTCAGTTCGAAATTCCAACCACCTGAAGAAGGCCGGAGCGTACAACGGCTGAAACGTTGGGATAAATATGGCGACAAAGATGAGGACAATAGTCCGAACAATGTAAATAATGTACTAGGATTCACTTGGATGAAATATGCAGCCCTAGAGTGATATTTTTACCTCTGATAATTTTCTTATGAGTATTAAACCGAATAAAACTTGCTGTACCAGTTTTACCAATATAATTACCACTGTTGTATTTGTTGCAAAAAATTAAATATTGTATATTTAATACTACCCAAGTCAAGGGAGGAGGCTGGAGTAGTGTATGTAATGCCAGGTGGGTTATAATACTATCGGTGAAATTTGTCTAAAAATTTCGTTTGGATTGTCTCGACGATGTGAAAAGTGAGTGCAAATATCAATATTGAAGCTTTGCGTTTAGTATTCAGGAAATCGCTTGTTAATTGTGAGGACAAGTTTTAAGTATTGGAAATACTTTTATAAAATATGAGACAATTTGTGAATGCTTTAACTTAAATGATAAAACATGGGAATTCTAGAATTTGTCTTATTTCTTTTATAGAATAGAAGAGTATCTCTTTTTTGTAATTGGAGGCTTAAATGATTGATTTCAACGATTTCTTTTTTCGTTGATTTTATTGATTGATTTTTCATTGATTTTCATGAGTGATTTTTAATTGATTTTAATGATTAATTTTTAATTGATTTCTTAATTGTTTGGGGGAATCCTTTATATTCTGTGTGTGTGTGTGTGCGTTTAAAGACTAAATATATTTAATTGCTAAAGATTCATTTATTTTTCTATCTTCGGCACCATTTTTCTTGTTTATGC